GTTAAGTAAACTTTTGAAGAAAAAAAGATAATTCTTTCAAAAGAGAAGTTCTACTGTAGACGAGATGTAAAGGCAGACACATTGCAGAAGGTGTGGAAGCAGTTGATTGAGGATTGTCGCACTCTTACACACACATACACTCTTACCCTCTCACACAGATACACACACATACATATACCAACAAAAACTGATTCGTTTTTGCGCCTTTTCCTTGTCGAACACGAAAGTTGGCAGCTGTTGCCGTTGCCAGGATGCCTTCGGAACTTTTGCAGCAACAGATACTTTTATTTTCTCGCTGGGCGATGGGCTCTGGGCCCTGTATCTTTGTATCTTTGTACAGGGCCCAGATACATACCCTACATACTTACATACAATATAAAGAAATAAAATGGCAAGATACTTTGTTGCCTTGGCTATGACGTAGACATTCGTTTTCTTTTTATTTCGTATCTGTTGGTGGTGTTTTGGCCCGAAAAGTCGTCTTCGTCTTTGGCTTTAGCTGGTGAGTTGTAATTTATGTTAAAGGAGATCGGGAAATAAATCTTTATTTATTTTTCTCCACCTCCCTGTTGCATGTTTCCTGTAGCTTGTTGTGGTTTTGTTTTTTTTGGCGAAACCGAAGGACGCGATAAATTTTTTGCACAGCATGTCTGGTGGCGGGACCCTTGGAGCTGTGATTGGAGGGCTTCGATAAGAACAGGATGATGGGGTATGCCGGCAAAAGTTCTATAACCGGAAATGGCCAAAATAGTTATTTAATCAGGAATGTATAGAGAGTTAAAAAAAAGGGAATTTCCCAACTATATAGTTCCTTGAATAAGAAACCTATTAATAATCCAAAAAAATCCATTGACGCAGGTCAAAGGCAAATAGCAATTATAATAAAGTCCCTGGGTGACGTAGTTTCCACCCAACCACCATCACCACCCCCCATGGGAAGTGTTGAACTTGAACTGATTTGAGCCCTATAGTGTACATAGTTTCTTGGCCAACACTTTCTTGGGCTTTATCTGACCGAAAATGCAGGTGAAACGTGAACTTAATAAGCGGGCGAGTAACGGGAAAAGTACCCGTGAAATCTTATCGCATGAGGCATGCGGCAAAAACAAATGCCAGCCAATTAAAGCAGAAACCTAATGATAATCAACCAACGAAACGAAAACGAATCAACACCAATAACAAAAGCAACAAAGCCAACAAAAATAACAATAACAAGAGCAGTAATAGCAACCTTAAACGAGTCTGTGACTAAAAACAACAAATAGACTCAGTGACCACCAGAGAGCTTCCAATCTTTCTCTCTCTCTTGGGTAGCAGGGAATTCCCTCTCTCTGGAAGAGAGTCGACCATTGAAGAGCAAGTTGAAAGCTAAAATTGAAAGCATTGTATGCAGGTGTGAGTGTGTGTGTGAGAGTGATGGGGGCTGGGGGGCTGAGCAGCGTACAATTCAAAGGAAATTAAGCATAAAAAGTGAATAACTTTTGATAATTGCGGTGTCAGCGTTTTGGCATTCCATTTTGCGCGCTCATTCAACTAGACGAGAGCATATATTTAGATTAAATTGCCCGTAAGTACCAATGTATCTGTATCTGTATGTGTGTAAGTGTGTGCTCGCAGATTAGTGATGTTTTCTATCTAGGTTTTTTTTTTGGCAGCTGTTGGGGGCGCCGCCACTTGAGATTCACATCTTATCAGTTTCTGTTGAAATCCCCATCATTTGCATAGTCACATGGGGCTGATACTTTTGCATTTTTTTTTAAATTCAATTTTTAGCAAGCTTGTGCTAATTTATAAACTTTAAATATAATTCTATCCTTTAGTATTCCTTTGAAATTCCCAAGAAATCATAGTAAACTTTCCCTCCCAAAATAAACATTCAGTTCTTGTCTAGAAAGCCTAAAAGTTTTAAATTTTTAAATTAATTTTAGTCCCTTATTCAATTGTTAAATTTAAATAAAATATATACTCAAACAGTACTCGATTATAGCACCCTAGATAAGGTCGTTGAATCCCAGATAGTGGCAGCCACAAAGTCGAGTCCCCAGGAATGCCATGCTCCAGTCTGGGAAGTCAAAGCCATTTAATTGTCAGGCTAGGCTACCCCCTTTGGTTCGGTTGTATAAGTCCCACACGCACATGCAAAAATTCTTGGCATAGTTGGGCAAATAATTCCATGTGGGTCGCAGCACTACATACAATTCGAATGCCCCCCCAACTCCTTTATTTTTTTTATTGTGCATTAACCAACTTGAGCAGCTGCCCCGAATTCAAGTTGCGGTTGCCTGTCGGGCTGCCCCATGTGCCTACATATCCATATCCATATTCTTGTTTTTTTTTCTAAACTTTTTGGCGTTTTTATTTCTTAGGTTTTTGAATAAAATGTGCCAGCAGCTGCAGAAAAATTGGCAGGCACAACAAAAAAATGCTCAAAATGCATTTTTATTTTAGGTATTTCTATAATGTATTTTTATAAGCAAAAATCATACATTGTTTTGGCCACAAATTGCCTAAAAACTTGGCTTAAAAATAAATCAAATTAAAATGCAGTGGCAGCAGAGCCAAAAAAAAAAATTACGCAATCATCAGAGTAGATACGTCACAGTTTGAATTGCGAATGAAACTCAAAACGTTCAATATTGAGGGTGTTGGTAACACACATATATAAACATATATACATATATATTGTATATGTAGGCGTAGACCGATTTGCAATATTGCGTCGCTTTCAATTCAATTTCTGTGACGTGAGCCCCCGTCCAACTTTTGGATTATTTTATTGTCTGGTTCAGTCATCTTTCGTTGCGTTTCCTCTATTTTTTATTCAATAAACTAGAAAGTCACAGAGATAACCCAGTTGTAATAAATTTTAAATAGTAATAGTTGACTAATTGACTTAAAAGTAATCCCCAGAGTTCAGATACCAAGCAATTTTATCTGGAAAGCGTCTATCTATTTGTTTAGAACCATAAACGAGAGGAATATAATAGAATGTATCTGAAAATAAACAACAAATGGCTGAATCATTTCATTGCCAGTATTCATGGTTTTTCTCTTCTCCCCCGAAAGGGATATTACTCATACGCCCCATTGGACTTACGTTATGATCGCATCGCTTCTCATTTCTCAGCTGGCTGAGCTCATGCTCATGCCCCAGCGTATGCGTAATGAGCCGCAAATGTTAATTGTTCTATAAACATTTCGAGCCAGCAATTAGTAAGCCAGCTTCCCTGCCAACAACAACAACAATAACAACAAAGTTGAGAGGCTTCCCCCACAAAACACACACATCCACAGGCCGAGCAAAAAAAAAGAGTTTCAATAAACAAACTGGTTGCAGCAGCAGCCTCCTAACCAGTTTTCTTGGCAAAAAAAAATAAAAAATAAAAAAAGTTGAAAGAAAAAGAGGCTCAATAGCGATGACGACGATATTGCCAATTTCAATCTTCCCAAGAACTTGGAGAAATTTTTAAAAAGTTAAAAAATGAATTATATAAAATAAATAAATATAAAAAAATACCCTTAAGATAAAGCCTATATTTATAGCTCTTTAATTAAATTAAAAATCGTTTTTTAAACTCTAAACTTTTCTCTCTGTGCTTTTGTGGCTTTGATGCGCATGTTTCCGCTTTGGAAAAAAAAAAAGTCAAAGTTGGTCGCCAACAAGTCGCGGCCATAAACAAGTGCGGCAGGTGGTAAAAACGCTGGAGATGCGATTCGACCAGGAGATGGGGAGTTTGGAGCTAAAGACAGGGGGCCGGGAAGATGCGTGCACAATCGGGGCCGCGTTCTTGGCTTTCGCGGCTACCTGGCGGGCCCATCTTGTTCTTTTTTTTTCAGATTTTTTTTACAGATTCTTCTCAGCCTGCAGTTGGCCGGAAGGCTGCTTAGCCAGGTTTTGCTTCCATAGCATTGCTGGTTGCCTGGTGCCTGGTTTAATTTGCATGCAGGTTTTTTTTTTCTTTTCTTGTGCTCCATTTCCATTGCATACTTGGAGGGGATCAGGAACATTGGCTTATCGCTGATGCGTTCAAAGTGCAGACACTCGAGGCGGTTTAACTCTCGAGTGTTTCACACCAATCACTATACTATATAGGGTTGTGTTTAAAAAAAAAGCCATTTCATTGAGATGATAAGACGTCATAGGCGACCACAAGTGTGGTTGGCTTGATAGTCTTTTAAAATTTTATTAAGAATGTAAGCTGTTTTTATAGCCAACTTGAAGTTTCTAAAAACAATTGATTAAGTGCTTTATTCCGCTAATAAATTCCCATTAATAATAATTGCTTATCAATTTCGGAAAAGTGCGTCATTTGAGTGTCTAAAGCAGCTGCTTCTGGGGAGGAAAATGTATATTTTTTTCTTTCAAGATTTCTGCAGAAACGATTTGTTTTTGTTTGTGCCCCTTTTGTGTATTTTTAGAGCCTTCATTGGGAATTTCGCCACGATTTGGCAAGAACATGGTGTGCTATTTTCGAGCACTCGTCAATGCGTTTTTCACGTTCACTTTGCGCAAAAATTCCCCAAAAAAAAAGAAATAAAAGAAATATTTCAAATTATATTGGTACGCGTCAAATAAGATTCTCCCACACATACACAGATACACAAACACTTAGTAGCTATTTTAAAATTAGCAAAAGAGCGCAACGGAATTGGCTTGTAAACATTTTTTTGCCGATTTTTCGTGAAAATTGATGTTTTCAGCCTGGTTTGTTGGCCTCCATGGTCTGGCCCATGGAAATTGGCAACAGTTGGCTCTGCTTCTTTAGAATACTTTATTGACTGTATAGTATGTATCTCAGATGTTTGTATGTATCTCAGATGTGCTTTCCTCAAATCGTTCAGCTTTCTTTAGCGAGTCTTGGTATTTTCCTGGCCTTCGCTTTTGACGTCACCAAAATAAAATGTCAGTGGCAGGTTGTGGGTGAAAATGCACTTGAAATTTTTATACTATCTTATACTTAATATCTTATACTAAATATGGTTTTTTTGTTTTGTTTCAGAATCTACTGTAAATTCACGTAAAAGTGCTTTGGAAACGGCACGTGAAAAACTGAAAGGTAAGTCGCAATATTAATTATTTTCAAGAGTTTCCAGAGTCTAGTGTAATAATCGCATTACTCTCATAATATAAACCCTGATAACTTAATCTGCCATGACTCAGAGTTCCAAGTTATCGCCTTCTAGTTTTTCGGAAAAAATCGAGTCTAGGAAGATACATGCTATATACTATATGTAGCAATGACCTTCAGGGGAGCTATCAATAAAGTTTCCCGGAAAAGAAAAAGAGAAAAAAAAAGTGAAATAGAATTGTTTATCTCTCTGGGTAATCAGAGTGGGGAAAGCTGATGGGTTTCCTCCACTCGATTCGAATACCGTTTAATACAGTTGTTATGGGTGCCAAGCACAAAGTATAAATATATATGTATATACTGGCAGCACACACAGAGATACAAATACTCAGATACTTCTGTGAGTGCTTAGCAATATTGATAAAGTGCGTGCTCTGTACATATGGGCATGAAATAATGAAATAGAACCGATGAAAGCTTCAGTTGATAAGGCCAAATGGCGTGATTCACGACAGAGTTCATATATATATATATATATGTATATAAATCAGCAACAATAAAGTATCTGCAGGCGTATCGGAAAAGATTAAACTCGGCTGCTAGCCACATTTTACTTTCGTTTCGATAAGCTTTTACGTGACGTAGATACCCATAACCGCGATATCATATCAGATATGAGAAGATACTACCTTCTGGCATACAATGTTTGAACAATAAACTCATTTGAAAGAAATTAGCTAAGCAGATCAAAAGTATCTTTATCCCATTTGTCAGATCAAGGACTTTCTGTAGAATAAAGTGAGAACTACCTGCTCAAACCTAGATCTCTGGATGGGTTGGGTGTAATTTGCATTTTCCGGATAGCCGAAAAGTCTGACCTGAACCCCGACTAGCGCCAGGATCAACCGGCTCAAGTACCTCAAGTCAAGTGAGTGCACTCAGATCCTTGGAATATCCCTTTACGGCCTGAGTCTATTGATGATTTTATGGGTTTTACCCGGGAAAATCGACATGTCGTCGTTATAATGATGCCATTCGGTCTGTTCGGGTCGGGTGGCGTTATTCTGGCCCCAGGTAGTCATCCGAATCCGAATCAGCAACTAAATCCATTGACGCAAGCGATTAAGGTGTCTCACGGATGTCTGGCAAGCGGCAGAGCCGATTTCAATTAGTTGGACATCTGAAACTATAAACAGCTGCTGGGGTATGCAAATATGCGGCCCTGATGCACAAAACTCTACAGATACAGATTCTGTTTTTTTTTTTGGGCGACAATCAGAGTGTCGGAGAGCCCAGCATTCCACGGCATATTTTTCGTTGGCGTCGCTTGTCTGCGATCGCCGCGTTTTTGCGTTTTATTTACTGCTCTCGGTGCTTAATATAAAACGATTTTCATAGACGCTACAAGTACGTCGACAAGCGTCGTGGCAAAGAATGTGTATCTGTATCTCTGTATCTGTAGCTGTGTATCTGTGTGTGCACAGTCGCCAAACTGGCGATTCCCAATCAGCCAGAGAACAGAGCAGAACAGCCAGCGGCATCTACTCGACTTGTGTATACAAAAGCCAGAACAATGATTAATAGATGACCGAATTGCAAATACCCTAAAAGGAAAAAAAACCAAAGTTTAAAACCCAAAAATATCTAAATATTTACTTTAGTTATTTTGGCCAACTACCCTGGAGTTTCATACTTGATTATGCAAATTTCCAGTTGAATCATCATTTATGCCCTCTGGTCGTGCTTTCCAATAGTTGATCTTGGCCAGTTTCAAGCAAATAAACTAAAATGGCTTAAATCAGTACTAGGGGGGAGTGTTTGTTGACGCCGCCGGGCCAAAAGCCAACGTTGCGTGTCAACAAATGAGCAATCGACAGGGCTATAATGGCCAAGTTAAGCTGTAGTTTGCCGTTGACTAAGGTCTAGGCAGTGCTGACGCATTCAGTCAGTTCCAATGGCCACCAACTCCCAGCACCCGGCAGGCAGGCAGGCTGTCTGTCTGACTAAGAACATCTATATGGTTCACAGTGATAACCCCCGAGGCAGCTAGCTGATAGTGCAGCTGGGGGATGTTCGTGGAAATAGTCGAACATTTCTCAGAATAACATTTCCAATCGCTAGCATAGTTGTGTTCTACTTCAGAGTTGATAATGAGATAGGGTCTTGTTTAATTTGTTATTTTTATTATGTACTAAATGACTGAATTATTAATTAATCAACAATTAAGGGAACACACCTTGCTAAATGTTAGACCAATCGATCAATAGCAGCATTATGTTGTGGGGGTCCGGCCCACAGTCAGCGGCTAAGCGGCTTCCGAAAATCAATAGCGCCCATAACTATGCAATGGGTAATTAAGGCGGCCATTTGGGACCAAATCACAAGAGGCATATGTATGTGTGTGTGTGTGTGTGAGAGTAGCGGAAATAGGGTTCTGGAAGAGATATTTCCTGTTGGAATATTAGAGAAGGGAATTAAAAGAGAGGTCAGAGTGTGTTTATTATTTATAAAAAGGGTATTATTTATAGTAGGGAATTAAGTAGATATCTTAATATTCTTAAATTAACCTTTAATTTTTTTTTCACTGTATCTTCAATTAGTTTTGATTGTCGCTTCGCTTTTGTCTCTCGCACGTTGACGATGCTCAATTAAAGAACTTGGCTCTATTGATTACGTTTAATGTCGATGACGAAGACGGTACCCATCCGCTCCCTGCCCCCTCCCCCCCCTCTTGGGTTACCATTCCATAAAGCAGTTCAAGTGAATGGTCAAACCTGTTTGGTCTGCAACATCGGCATGGAATCGTGGGCAGTTGTTGGGGGCATGTGCACGAGCGGCGGTGGTAATAATAACAAAGTTGGAGCCGCCGGACGGCGACAGTGAAAGAGATGGCAATAGTGACGGCGACTGAACGGCCCAGACATGATCACGTCGCCAGTGATGTTGTTGTAAGTGTTGTTGTTGCTCTGGCCCCGGGTCTCTCTGATTGTTTGCGTTTGTCTGTCTGCCTCGAAGTTGGAGTTGCCGTCGCCACAGTTACACTGAAAGAAAATTTGGAATTAAAATAAATATGCCACAGACATAGAGTCTTAATAGGAGTCTGAAATTTCTTTCAGTGTAACAATGTCGCCAGTTTGGCGGCACTGGCGATCGTGTAGCTTCTGGTTGCAATGTTTCCAGCGTCGCCGCTCCACCTTCCTCGCACTCGCACCCTCCTCCAGCACCCCCTTTATCGAATACTGTTTTATGTAGCGCTTAATGGTTTCATTTGGCGGCTGAGCAGAGTTTTCCCCAACAGATTGTTGTTGTTGTTATTGTTGGTTGTTGTATGTTTGTGTATCGATTACCCAATGCGTGAATGAGTAAGAACCCAATGAGGGCGATGTACGTTGGCTTTTTTTTTTGTTGCAAGTGGAGTGGAGTGGAGTATCTGGTGCTGCAGGCCCCGGGCCACTTGTGCCTATTTATGTTTGCCAGACACACACACACACACACACACACAGAGACAGAACCGTTAATTGTTGGCTGTGCTGTGCGTTGGTGCCCAATTGTCGATCAGTGTATGGGTTTATTTTTAAATCAATCGATGCGATAGACATTTTATTGCTGTAATCAATCGTCGCGTGCATGTGGCGAGTTATACAGAGAGAAAAAATCTTGCTATACTGATAACTATTAGAAAACTATTTAATTAGGTTTATAGAAATTTTTCTCAGTGCCCTGGTAGTACATGTGTTTATGTATGTAGTCTGCTACGCACTCGTCCTCGCTCGATTGTGTTTATTGATTAGATTGTTTACCTTTCTTAGTGATATCATCACCAGGCGAACCTTATCGTACGTCAACTGTCTAAATAAGTGTACATCTGAGCACACACATCCATCCATCCATAGAAAAACTCAAAACTATTCCATTTTTTGAAAAAAAAACCTCTCTATATATATACATACATATGTATGTATATGTATGTATGTAGAACTCTTATCGAATCGCTTCCGTTCGATTTGGCACAGAATGTTTCATTTTCAGACTGGGGGGCTTTTTCTGTTCCATTGTTGTTGTCAAGCTCGTTGGGGTTCGTTATCTGAGATCGATTTTTAATGGGTGTGAAGCGGGAAAATAGTGATTTATAGAGCTAGCCTTAACAAATTAATATCCATAAAGGTAAAGCTTTGATAAGACAACCCATGAGTTCAATGGGTCACTAAAAGAATGTAATCTGGGGATTATAGATACAGGGAATTTTAGCAATAACTGTACTGCCTGGCAGGGGGAAGAAGGAAAGTGCTTTAAAAATAAAACCAACCAAGCAACAAAAAAAATGTGCAAAACCAATTGATCTAATAAGCCAAGAACGCGGCGCGTTTTTTATTATTCAACAAAAAAAATAAGAAAAAAATAAAATAAATAAAGAAAAAAAAACTCAACAACACCGATAACAATAGAACATTTTGCAGGCGGGCTTCCCTCGCAGACCGGGCCGGGGATGGAGCTGTGTCTGGGGGGGCTGGGGGATACCATGCCAAAATACAACAACAGAATACGAAGTGAAATAGCAAGAAGAAGCAGCCAGAGAGCATGGGGGGAGAGAGCGCAACAGTGAGCGCCATATGTCTGCCGCTACGAAATGTTGGGGCTCGAAATCACGTTGAACGGAAAGGGATGGCATACCCAAAGAACTCACACACACACACACAGACAGAGATATAAGGCTCACACACGTTTTCTCACTCATACCACTAACCATACAGCATATAGACAACCCATTTCATACAACGAAAATGGACGCGAAAATTTCTTGCGACAGGCCCCAGCAGGCCCCAGAGCGGATTTCTTACGCTCTCTTACGCTCATCGTTCGTTCATCTTACGCTCATTCTCGCAATAAATGTTTTCTGTTTCTCAGTCTCTAAACGGAGCGCGATGAAGAAGGTTGGCCTGCGCTTCGGTTGATCTTTGTATGTATGCGTGTCACACATTCACATACATGGGTGTATGTGTGCGTGCGATTTCGTTTCGAAGCCAGCGCACAAAATTTTGATTTTTCTTACTTTTAAGGCTTGCTACCCTAACAAAATTCGGGTATTCGTTATTTGATGAAATGACGAAAGAAATTATATTATTTTTATTTTATTTTTTTTATTATTTCAGCATACATTTTTAATTTATTTAGGAATAAGATTAAGTGTTAGTAGTAAAATGTTTTCTGTATATATATTTTTACGAATCATTAAAAATCAATATACTGAGAAAGTGTCAGAGTATATTTCGGTCGGAGTCACTTAAAGCGCCGATTGCTTTTAAGTTTTTGTTGTTCTGCAAGAGGCTTGTGCATGCCTACTCTAACGATGGAATGATTTTTAGGGGAGGGTGAAGACACGAAAACAGCTGATGGACTTGTTTACCTTTTTTGTTTACAATTTTTCAGGCACTTGTTATTATATTTTGGGTTATTGTGAGATTTAATTAAATTATTGTCGTTAATTTAATAATTTCCTTATATATATTTCCTTATATATAATAACTTTAAAAAGTAATTTAATTCTTCACCCGTCTTCACCCTCCCCTAAAAATCATTCCATCGTTAGAGTAGGCATGCACAAGCCTCTTGCAGAACAACAAAAACTTAAAAGCAAACGGCGCTTTAAGTGACTCCGACCGAAATATACTCTGACACTTTCTCAGTATATTGATTTTTAATGATTCGTAAAAATATATATACAGAAAACATTTTACTACTAACACTTAATCTTATTCCTAAATAAATTAAAAATGTATGCTGAAATAATAAAAAATATAATATACAAAATAATATAATTTCTTTCGTCATTTCATCAAATAACGAATACCCGAATTTTGTTAGGGTAGCAAGCCTTAAAAGTAAGAAAAATCAAAATTTTGTGCGCTGGCTTCGAAACGAAATCGCACGCACACATACACCCATGTATGTGAATGTGTGACACGCATACATACAAAGATCAACCGAAGCGCAGGCCAACCTTCTTCATCGCGCTCCGTTTAGAGACTGAGAAACAGAAAACATTTAATGCGAGAATGAGCGTAAGATGAACGAACGATGAGCGTAAGAGAGCGTAAGAAATCCGCTCTGGGGCCTGCTGGGGCCTGTAGCAAGAAATTTTCGCGTCCATTTTCGTTGTATGAAATGGGTTGTCTATATGCTGTATGGTTAGTGCTCATACATAGTAAGGCGCAACAGCCGACGACTTGGCGACGCCAGTTCACTTGCTTTCGTTGTTGTTGTTGTTGGCATTAGTATTGCTGTTATTGTTAATCATTTGGCCAGGGGCGGTTCAGGCCAGGCGGCATGCCTTAATAATTTTTTTTAATAAATTCTATAATAGGTGCAGTTGAAAAAAAAAAAGATTCTATGGCCCACACGATGACGTTGACTCAATAAGCCATATTTAACCCCCAAATGGCCGTATTTTTTTATCACGTTTATCAGACCTTATAAATTTAGATAAATTTTAGGTAAACCAGCAAAGGTATTTGCTTTTTTTTTAGATAAAATTTCTCGTGCGTAACATTGCTCATTAAATCAAAATAAATTATTTTAGGGTAGCTCATAAACCGGGCTCTCACTGAAACAACTATGTACCTCGAATCAGAGTTGATCTGAGCAAGAGAGAGAGAGATTATTGAGGCACCAAGGGCGCCCAAGGGTTAACAGCTGCCCGGCCCGGCACGACACGGCCCGGCCCGGCCTGTTGCTTCGACACTCAGCTCAGCTCTCGGCGCGCCATTTGAAGATCGTACGTAGAGCTGCGTGGTCGTTGTGCCTGCCGTGGTGTGTTGTATCGTATAGCTACGATGATGATGATGATGATGATGATGATACGGAATAAGTCGGAATAAATACAGAAACATAAACAAAAGGCAAGGAAACCACAAAAGAACGGAACATTCGAACCCCCAACCGCGTGTGCTTTTATAAGTGTGTGGGCGGAGTGTGAGTGCTATTGCCAGTGCCAGTGCAGCCAGCCGCCACAACAAGTTTCGTATTAATCAAATTAGATCATAGCCCCGGAGAATGTCATAATATGCTAATTAGCGAAATATATTCTGAATCAAAATCAAAGTGCAAAATTTCAAAGTCTCCTCTTCAGGAAAAGTTGCTCCAAAAAAAAAGTCTAAAAAGTTTATGCGTGAGTGAGTTACCTAGTGAGTAAAGTAGAGTGAGTGACTGAGTGAGTGCTAGGAATTCCAAGAAAAACTGTGAAAATTCAAAATAAACAAAAGTCAAAAAGAAATAGAGAATAGAAAAAAGGCAGCAGACCGGAGCAACACAAAAAATCTGGGCAACCCCGCGGCCGGGCCGCAATATCAGATTTGTGTCCAGCAACAACAACAACAACGTGTGTGCGGGTGAGTGGATAATCTAGGCATTAGTCTACATAGATATACATATATATATCTATGCACATGTATATGTTGGAGTGCATCCCGCTGTGCAACAATAAGAGAAGAGACCCCTCATTGGACTTGAACTACATACATATGTACATACTTAGTTCGGGGCGTTTTACCTGCTCATCGAGCCACGTAAATTAAGCCGGCGCCAGGATACCTGGCTATACTTCCAGCAGGGCCCGGCAGACAAAAGGCTTGCAACGTCATTGACGCGGCAGCAGCAACACCACCCCAGCACCCAGCAACCAGCAACGTGCAACACAATGCAGAGAAAGGTGGAAATCCACTTAAGACAGCACCACGGGGCGTTCAGATGACTACAGTGAACTCTGCCTAACCTAAACAAACTCTTACTAGGTTAGGATTAGTTTTTCGCATAGAAAGATACTTTACTGCCAGGGTATATTGTATCTTAGGCCTGCTGCTCTCAAGTGTTTTACGAACAATTAAACATGCAACAGTTATAATACGTTCCGCCTTTGTATCTCCCTCTCTCTCTTTGGATGTGTATGTGTGTGTTTGAGGAATGCCCTGCCTGGGGAATGACGACACATGTTTATCGGCTGGGCAACCCCTAAAGAGCAGTCATGACCTTGACAACAGCCACAGCGACCGAGCAACAGATACATCTTACAGATACAGATACATCTTACAGATACAGATACGTTTTTATTGTTTTTTTTTTTTTTGTTTTTTTCTTGTCTTAGTTACTATTATTTTCACGCCCAATGCGCATGTCTGCAAAAATATACAAAAATTCGAAGCAAATTAATATTATTAACCCCCTCCACTCTCTACCTGCCTACGTAAGCATTTTTTTCTTTTTTTTTTTTTTTTGCAAAAATATGCAAAAATCCACAACACCGCCAACGTATTTCCGTCCTTCAAATGCCAAAACGCCAAGACAAGCAAAAAAAAAAATACTGATGAGACTAACACCAGAACGCGCACATTTTGTGAAAAAATTATTTAAATGTTTATTTTTGAAGAAATTTTGGATGGCGCCCCAGCACCGCCATCGCACGATTTGAAGATTCTTTTCTCTAATCGTTTGTTTTGGCGGCCTTTGACTTTGAAAGAATCAAGTATTTATGAACGAATTTATTTCATTTAATTGCCCTGGCCCCCAAGTAGAGAACACACAACGTGACGATTAGATGAAAAATCTTAAGAATATCCAAAAGATACAATCCTAAGATACTCTATCTTAGAGCTCTAATAAGTTGCGCAATCGAATTGATTCCGAAGCTGTCATAAAACATATTTTAAGAGATAATTTTTTTTATGAAAAATGTGCTAACGCAAAAGGCCAATAGAAGCAACTAAAAATATTTTAGACAACAGATACGCAGATGTATCTATATATATATAGATATATAGATATGTCTAGTTGGCTCTATACTGTCTACTGTCTAAAATAAAACACTTGAATGCCGTCTTACGTAGTTGGAACATTTAAAAATACATTTCTAGCTCCGACGGCACCAAAAC